AAATTTTATGTCTAATATTTCGCTATTTTATTAAGTTCATGTTAGTTTAAAATTAAGTTAAAAAGAAACTGATTTACAATAAGACAAAGGCGCTACTTTTATCATGCTGTATTTCATTGTTTAGTTTCTTGAATTGAAATTCATTCTAACCTAGTGATGGGGGGTAATGCTAAGTGAAGTGAAATAGTTTAACTTGAGATGTTTAAAATCCAATACACTCCCCCATACCCTCAGAGCACAAACCCACTTACATCTCCATACCATCCCAATACCCTCGTCATACCATCCCAATACCCTCGTCATACCATCCTAATACCCTCCCAATACCATCCCCATACCATCCTAATATCCCCTCCCCTCCCCATACCATCCCAATACCCTCCCAATACCATCCCCATACCATCCTAATATCCCATCCCCTCCCCATACCATCCCAATACCCTCCTCATACCATCCCAATCCCTTCCCCCATACCATCCCAATACCCTCCCCATACCATCCCCATACCATCCTAATATCCCCTCCCCTCCCCATACCATCCCAATACCCTCCCAATACCATCCCCATACCATCCTAATATCCCATCCCCTCCCCATACCATCCCAATACCCTCCTCATACCATCCCAATCCCTTCCCCCATACCATCCCAATACCCTCCCCATACCAATCCAATCCCCTCACCATTACCCACCAATACACTCCCCTCCACCCACCCAGAAACTAACAAATCAAACACCGTCCCCCGGGGGATGGGGCGGTATGTACAGGCACGTGTGAGCCAGAAGTGCGACGGTTAAAACGTGCCAGCCATGTTGTGAGCACAGTCTGCGTCACTTGACCCTGCAGGTGCAGAGAAGTGATTCGAACCCACGACAGCTGGGGACCACATACCCTGGGTCTACCTCAACAGGCCACAACATAAGTTTTTTAGCGCAATTTCCATACGGACGATTATTAACTCGTCATTTCTGGATGGATGTGTGTCCCCAGCTTTAAGTCGTATCTCCTCCTCAACGAAGCAGAGTTTCTTCCAGGCATCTCTTCGGGGGGGCGAAGCCCCCCCGAAAATTTTTTACCGCCCCCCCGAAAGAAATGAAATTTATATAATTTATATAGAAAATATATACTTTTAACAGTGTCCGCCCCCCCCCCCCCGAAGAAAGTTTACCGCCCCCCCGAAGATTTCAAGTGCCCCCCCGGAGAAAAAAGTCTGAAAGAAACACTGCAACGAAGCAATATCGAGGACTAGTTCCAAAAGCAAATATGTTAAGCAAGTTCCAAGGACGATTGTGGGCCAAAAAAATTCACGGAATTCCTTCCTGGATTTCCCGGAAAAGCCAAAAAACCTCGAACAAATGCAGTTTTTGGTCCATATCTCGGCAACCAGACCACTTAGCGACTTGTTTCCCCTTTCTTGATGAAATTATTTCAGTCCCTTGTTTGGGGATTGAGAAAAAACAATCAGGCCTACTAATTAAGTAAATTAGCCATTTCACGAACGGAATATTGATTACTTGACCTCAAGTTTGGACTTGTGTAGAGGGGGTAGGGATGGTGGTCAGGGTTCATATAAATGAGTTTGGTGGCGGTTGCGATGGATGGGAGGGGAGGAGAAAACATTTTAAAATTTTTAAAAATTACACCATATAAAAATTATAAACTAAATCTGAACACTTTCAATAAACGTATTGTAAACAAATACCTAAATACTACAGGGTTTTTAAATACCACAGTACACCCCTCCCCCGATGTTAGTTATATACGCCTGTTTAGTTCAGTTCGACAATACCCACCCCTCATCACCCACTGTGTTTCCACCGCCTACGTAACAGTACAACGTCGACGTTTCTACCAGCTTAAAACCTCAGTCTTCTCCAACCTTTAATTACCTCCCCCCATCCTACCAACACCCCCCCCCCCCCCCCACACACACACACCACCACGCTGATAAAGAAATGAGTACAGCCCCGTCACGCGTGACTGATTTATGCCCGGACACGGGTTCGTGGTGTAACCATTCCTTTGAAGCCGAGGTCAGTTACGCTACAAACCAGCAGGGGGGGAGGGGGGAGTCGTGCCGTCAGCGGCGAAGGAATAATTGACTAATGGCCTTGATAGATTCGCCTGAATAATTAATGTGTCAAGGACGCGATGGCTGGCCAATGAGTGAGGCCACTTTAAGTTTAAATCATCCACCAGGCTTAATTGCTCGGTTGTTTTTTTCTTTTACGATCAATGTAGCTGGATCAATCATTTTTAAAGTCTTTAGCTTTTAGCTTTATAATTTTTAAAATATAAAAACGGGGGGAAAAACATTTTGTAAAGTATTTAAACAGACTCTTAACGACAGATGAGAAATCTATAATCTTTTTAGAGAAAACGTAATTACTAACTTTAAAAAGCATTCTAGATGCGAAGTAAAATGTCTGCAGTCAAAACTTTGGACTAGTTATTGATTTTTTTTCCCTTCCATCTCTATAAGAATAAAGAATTAAAAGGCAAAATTTATCCTTTTTCTTTCTGTTAAAAACAAAGTAGAAACAAACAAAGCAAAAGTTTAGAATTAAAAGTTGAAATAAAGGTAAAGTGTAGACTAGCTATGAGTGATACGTTAGTTGTTTCTGTTCATGGTTTAAAATGAAAGAATCGTCATGGTGCTCTATTGAACTTGGCTAATGAACTTAAAGTAGATGTTGACGATGGTCATTATAATTATGTAGACCAGAGTAACGAAAACCATTATATGTAAGCCAGAGTAATGATGACCATTATAATTAGGCTAGAAAAGCTGGGACCGAGTAGCGAAATGTATTATTGTTAGGCCAGAGTAGGGATGACCATTGTAGTAAGGACAGAGTATCAGTTACCGCTAGCTGTAGCTAAGCTAGTGTAGAGATGACCATTATACTATAGCTGGCGTTAGCAGCAATGACCACTGTAGCTAGACCAGTATATAGATGACCATTATAACTGGGCAGCGATCATTGTATCCAGGCCAGTGTAGCGATGACCATAAGAGCTAGACTAGAGTAGTGATGACCACTACATCTAGACCAGTGTAACGATGACCATAAGAGCTAGACTAGAGTAGCGATGACCACTACATCTAGACCAGTGTAACGATGACCATAAGAGCTAGACTAGAGTAGCGATGACCACTACATCCAGGCCAGTGTGGCGATGACCATAAGAGCTAGACTAGAGTAGCGATGACCACTACATCCAGGCCAGTGTGGCGATGACCATAAGAGCTAGACTAGAGTAGTGATGACCACTACATCTAGACCAGTGTAACGATGACCATAAGAGCTAGACTAGAGTAGCGATGACCACTACATCTAGACCAGTGTAACGATGACCATAAGAGCTAGACTAGAGTAGCGATGACCACTACATCCAGGCCAGTGTGGCGATGACCATAAGAGCTAGACTAGAGTAGTGATGACCACTACATCTAGACCAGTGTAACGATGACCATAAGAGCTAGACTAGAGTAGCGATGACCACTACATCCAGGCCAGTGTGGCGATGACCATAAGAGCTAGACTAGAGTAGCGATGACCACTACATCCAGGCCAGTGTGGCGATGACCATAATAGCTAGACTAGAGTAGCGATGACCACTATATCTAGACCAGTGTGGCGATGACCCATTGTAGCAATGGTCGACATAGCTAGGCCTGAGTCCTCTATAACAGAAAATAACCAAAAACGTCTGTCACTGACTACTGAATCACATGCAGTGTTGAAGATTAATCTGTCACTGGCAGCGAGGGAGGGGAAGGGTGTGGGGGCGTGTGTGTGAGTGTGTGTGCGTACACGCGCGTGTGTCGAGGCGCGCGCCCAACGGCCGTCCAACAAAGAGAGAGAAAGGGAGTTATCGATTGGTACAACCTGCAGATCGCGCTGTTACAAAGCTCACAGCGGGGCGCTAGGCCCCCTCCACTTCAACTACACACCACCCCGGCACCCCGCGCTTCTGTCTCACATAAAAAAATCGGAAGTCGGGGAGTCACACATCACAATCGAACATTTTTCAACGGTCTATTTTTATTCGCGTAAGCACGGCGGCCAACATTACCGGGTACTTCTACAGCAATTAAAGGCCTTTCAATAGGCGGAGGAATGTTTTGTGACGAGCGGTTCAAGTCGGGGGTTGAGATAAAAATAAATAATATGCAAATTAAAGTGTCACACACACATATAAATAGTGTGCTGAGAACATGAGTATAGATAAAAGGCAATACAGATGTGTACTATACTGATATACTGGGTTTTCTATTCTTAAATTTGAATAACAACATGATCCATTTATAAATTAAAAACAATATCATATTTTCATTGAAAACAAATAAAAGAACAAATTGTAATTTTTTTAGAAGCATAAGTGAAATTATAATTAAATCTCTAGCAGCACTAATTAGAACTAATTATGATTAGCCTTAAATTAGTAGTGTTTATGATTAATCGATATGCCTAATGTTTTTGAATAATCAAAGTAGAGTGTTCATAAAATTAATAGTGAATGTATTGTGACTTGAATGCATCAGAGAAAGTCTTTACTGTGTGATATAGTCATACCCAAGTCTTCAAGAAAATGGATTCATTCGTGCATAGCCATTGCAACTATGCAAGGCTAACTGATTCTATAATGGTTAAAGTATCGTAATCGCATATGATTAGGGTTAATCGATAAGAACCCCAGGCTAACATAAAACGAACTCAGGCGTAAAGTAAGGAGCGGTATGGGTATAGTCAAGTATAGTAAGGTATTGGTTATATAAGTTATATAACGACTAATAACGAGTTGCTTAGTAAATGTGTATTTATGAAAACGTGTACGTTTGAAATATGTTGGCCCTTATGTAAAATTGTATAGATCTAGTCTAGTTGTTGACAGCAGTAGTCTGCTTGAAACTTTGTACCTGAGTTTTCAAAGCAAAACGTAAAATGTTAAATTGAATGACAAAGAAAAATGGCAAGTTGAATGACTGACTTACCGAGGTTGTGAATGGGGGTCCGGCCAAGTCAATGTTGTCCTCCACTAGTTTGTCACGAAGGATCAGCTTAAGCTGGACCTTGGAATACGTCACCAACGTTGTCTTTCCCATGTCGTAAGCGTCCAGTCTCATAGCCCCACCGCCAGACTTTTTCCCCAGAACAGAAGACGGACACAGATCCTCGTCATTACCGTCGCCTACTTCGGTTTCGTCCCCGCTCTGGCAAGTCTCGCACTCCTCCAAAGTGAAATACACGGCGGTGCCGCCTTCTTCCCTCAGAACTTTCACAGCCCTCAGTAATTTTTCTCGGTGTTCGTCCCTGGGTACTCCGATAGCATCTAGGTCATCCTCGCCTATTTGTTTACACACCTCCAAATCGTCATATCCATTGTCAAGAAACGACTGCGTGTATTGGACTAAATCCACTGACCGTAGCCAGTCCTCTACGATAGAGTTTGAACCCGAGGCCATAGTACTATCTACTGAAACTATCTCTCCGAATGGCCAACACAAGACATAAATAAATCCGACCAAGTCTAGGAATATAAACAACACACGTACACACACAACACACACCGCGTAAATAAATCCGTTAAATTTATTATCATCGCTGATAAATGAATCACACAGCAAACAACACGAGAGAAGGGATCGCTCACAGAAAATTTCGTTTCTGCTAATCCGTGTTCTTACCGAGTGTCAGCTGGGCTAGTTCGCCTCTCGCCGTGTCACACAGCCCGATCGACTGCTTCTTGCCGCGCTACCGGCTGATCCATAGTGTACACACACACACAGTCTTCGCGCACCGAGCCGCCCGCCGAGGGTTCGGTTTTTTTTCACACCCAGTCGTGACATAGCGTAAAAAATTACGGGAAAGTGGGAATGAGAACAATGCTATGAAAAAAGAGGGGTGTAGTGGGGAGGGGGGGGGGGAGCCCTAACTGGGACAATGATCTCCAAAGGGCACATGTTTACAGTAAATAGCAATAACAATTAACATTGTGTTACTGAACAGATAAGTTTAGAGGGTTTTTTTTAATGTAGGCCTAAAGAAAATATCTAAAAACTGGTATAGGATAACACGTTTGTATGATTTTGAAAGGATGCTTGATTGTGTCTATGATCTATATTCTATAAGATTACAAAAAGCTATTAAAGCTTTAAAGAAACAAATGTAGCCAATTTTGTTACTGTGGCCTAATTTATTCTAAACGAGAACCTATATAAATTAAAATAAAAGATTTTTTTTTTTTTGGGAATTATTAGTACAAGTGACAAGTCAACTTTGTTTTGTTCTATGTTTTATTTCCAAGGCATATTCTATATTATGCATATTATCGAAAACATTAATACTCAATAGAGCGATAATTCAATGCTCCAAATATTTCAAATCAAATTTATCGTAGGCCTATTTAATATATTTATGCATTTGAGTTTTGTAAAAGTAATTCCCAAAACGGTAAGATAACCTAAAAAGACTATTGGGCAATTGGGTATTAGAAGATATTAAGATATCCCATATGCTGAGGTCATTAACACTCTACTTCAACAGGAAGAGATGACGCAGGGGCGTAGCGAGGGGGGGGGGGGGCGGGGGGGTGCGGACCGCACCGGGTGACACCATTTAGGGGGGTGACACCAAGGCAAAAAAGAGCAAAATATATAGAGAAAAACTCGAGGGGGGGGGGTGCAAATCGAAAGTTTGAGGGGGGGGGGGGTGCAAATCGAAAACTCGAGAGGGGGGGTGCAAATCGAAAGTTTGAGGGGGGGGGGGGTGCAAATAGAAAACTCGAGGGGGTGGGGTGCAAATCGAAAGTTTGATGGGGGGGGGGTGCAAATCGAAAATTTGAAAGTTTGTCCCTGGGAAGGGTCTCTATGCCTCTGAGGGGGGTGACACCATTAAGTGCCGCACCGGGTGACACCCGACCTCGCTACGCCACTGAGATGACGATAATAATTTACTCGATAATGGTTGCGCGCAATAAATTGTAGAAAACTATTGCAAAACGCAAACATTAATGATAAGAAACTCGATTAATTATAAAATTAAAATAATAACTTTTAGCTGAAGAACGGTAGACACCTACCCTTCTTCATAACATACAATTACGTGATTAGATATAAATAAACCATAACGGGAAACCCCGGTTATTTTGGAGAGTAATCCAGGGTCTGGTCGTGGGGCGCCAGTTGCCCTCTGGGTACGAGGGGCGCTCTGGTCATGGGGGGGCCAACTGGCCTATGGGCACTAGGGGGTGTAACTCGCGTGATGAGATGAGCAGTGGTTGGCCAAAGTTAATTACGTGCCAAATAAGTGTGGCCAAATTCAGGGTGAGTCACCCTTTCTGTATATGACACAGTTTCTTACACTTTTGTGTAAGTGTTAAACATAATATGTACGTGATGCAACCTGTATGTTATTATTTTTTGTTTTCATTAAACTTTAATTAATTCTTAAACTTGTTTGCAATTTTTAACATTTTTGTATTTGTTACACTTTTAATAAAGTGTTTAACTTGCATACTGGTGTTTTAACTTATTAAATTGCTGAACTTTTAGGTTAATTTAAGTAGTAAACTAATATGTAATTGTTAAACAATGGAATGTTTAACTAAAATGTAAATGTTGAACTAATTTGTGAATGTTATACATGTCATAGTAAACATGACAAATAAGTGTAAACAAAATTTCAGTTGTACTGACAGAAACAGGAGCACTCTACTTCATCTGCCCATGGATCTTCTGGTCTAAAAGGGCACTTTACTTACAATCTACTAGCTTTATCTGTATGAAGTTTTTTTTTTATCTATCATCTTTTTCTGTTCATGTTCAAGACACTTGAGGCAGATGAAGTAGAGTTCACCTGTTTAAATGACCCTGACATACATGGGGACAGAGTGGTCAGCACTATGCCCAGTTGCATTAGCTTTCCTAACATAAGTCAGGTACCCATTAGGGCTGGATGAACTCGCACCCGGTATCTAAACTTGAGACTTACAGGTTAGCAGTGTCATAAGCTTTACCCAAACCTTGATAACTACCAGTTTTTTAATACTAGCAACTAAATATTTGTTGTATTGAAGTTATATGTAGTTTTTATACTTTCTTTTGTTAAACAGCTCACAAAAGTGTATGCTTATTTAGGTAATGATATTTGGGTAGCTTCTTGGTTGTCCAAAAATATCAAGCCATTTCAAAAATGTTTGGAGATTATTCAATCTATCACTCCAACACTCAAAATTTCATTCACTTACATATTAACATCAGAAAATGGTGAGTTGATGGTGAACTGTAATAATATATAATAAAAAAACAATAAATGTCTTTGGGCACAACCTGGTTGAAGGTTTTTTTAAATAGTTAAGTACATCTATGTAAGAAACTTTGTCAAGACCATAGCTTACACATCCATCTTTCATTACACATATACGATGCAATATGACTTGCAACCAATCCAAATATATGGTTTAAAAAAAAATAAAAAAAAATCAATCTAGTAAATGTCTTGAAAAGTGGACAGAATAAGCCTTTAAAATTAGACTTGAA